GTTCTATGTTCTATGTTCTGATTGCATCACATCACATAATTCAACCTCGACCCGCCACAAAGGACAAAGAATTACAAATAAAGATAGTTTCACCTAATTCTTTACCCAGAGTGTAGCATTAGAATCTGGAACTTATAACCATGTTGAATAATTGAGGAAAATAATAGAGGTGCATTTAAATAGCAGGAAGATAAACAGGAGAGGAAGATTAGAAAATGATGAAGAGTAGTAGGGGGAAGATTATGTAAATGTATACAATAGATTGTCTTAATGGCATGGTTGTCTACAGTCTGCTTTGTATAAAATCATTTAAGTTGTAGTTTAACATGTAGCACCAGCTGAAGAACATCAATTCTATTTAATACTCAATAAAATTATAATATTTTTATTTTCTATGCTGTCATTGACTGTGTGATGGTTGACAGGGGTAAATCAGTACACATGTTCCATATCCGAAGCAACAGCATTTTCATTTTAGCTTTCTTGAAACCTGCCCTGGCTACTCTGGTGTGTCCTTTCATATGTATCCTGGACAACAAGGTGCAGGGCTGGATGAACACAGCAGGCCAAGCAGCATCATAGGAGCAGAGTCCTGGATTCAGTTTATGAAAACTAGTCACCATGTGTAATTTGGTCCACTGTACATTGTTATTCATTGACATGACTACAAGGATAAAATATTTCTTCATTCCAGAGAATCTCTTGGATAACTGAAAATGTTGCATTGTGACAACTGGCCTATTAGCACCATCTTCAGGGCATGTTGTTGACAGTGCTGAACCATAGCATAGACTTTAGTGACAGGAATCAACCTCAGTCAAGTTGTTGTGAGAACAAGCAATGCTCTCATAACAAAAGGCTTGACGCACTTTGTTTTAATGGCTCCACTCAAACAGCAAAAGGAGAACCGCAGTAAAAATATGCTGAGAATTTGCATGAGAATGCTAGCTATAGCCAACCTTGTGCTTCTGAGTGTTATATGTTAGAATCCTCATATTGCCCTTCCTATTAAAATTTAGATAAACTACATACAAGCATACAAATCAAGAGCAGGAGTAGGCTACTAAACCCTCAAACCTGCTCGGCTACTCCATAAGATCATAGCTCATCTGATTACTACACGTTCTGGCTTACCCAAGAACTATTCATCCCCTGGCTTAGCAAGAATCTATCTAAATTGGCCATAAAAATATTCAAGGGTTCTACCTCTTAAGGAAGAGAGTTCAAGGGCAGTATCTTATAGGGGTCTGAGTGACATGGGCTATGGTGAGATTTGTGGCAGAGTTATAGGAAAAGTCCAGCGAGGCCCATTTTGACATCAGGAGGATCTCATTCCATCTTTTATGTTTTTGCTGACCAGCAAGCCGAGTTTCCCGAAGATACCAAGAACTGCTGGAGTCAGAATCAACACACTGTGGAGCTGGAGGAATACAGCAGCTCAGGCAGCATCAGAAGAGCAGGAAAGTCAATGTTTCAGGTTGGGACCCTTCTTCAGAACTTTTGGAGTCCATTGGGGATGATCCAGCTGCGTAGGCAGGTACTGAGAAAGGAGATGTGGCTGTAGTACTGGGTTTGCTTAACTATGTGGTCGAAGAGCTTCAGGATGGAGGAGATTACCAGTGCTTTCCAGTGGGAGAAAGATCCACTGAGATCTTTCCAGGGGGAGAAGGACAATTTCTTCAAGGTGGGCATCCTTGGAAGAGGCTTCGCAGTGGGGTTATAACTCACTTGGAGATAGCAAGAACTGCAGATGCTGGAGTCAGAATCAATACAGTGTGGAGCTGGAGGAACACAGCAGGTCAGGCAGCATCAGAGGAGCAGGAAATATGAAGTTTTGGGTCGGGACTCTTCTTCAGAACCGATGCTACACGTTGACTTTCCAGTTCCTCTGATGCTGCCTGACCTGCTGTGTTCCTCCACTCCACACATGTTGAAGGTGAGTTTCCCACCAGACAGCAGCAAGTTGCCGATGAAGTGAGATTATTGCTCGTTAAATACTTTCTTGATGGCACACTTGTCTCACTAATGCTCAGCTTCCTATCCGACCAAACTTATCAAACAACCTAGGTGTCAAAAAACCTTGACGTGGAAACTGGAGTGGGTAGCTGGTGGATTCAGTCTCCTGCTTGCTCCGAATGATCCCCAGGTGGCATACGACTAAAATGCAGCCCACGGCACTATCCATGAGCATCAGCTGCAAATCCATCCCCGTCCACCAACATTGCCATCCAGCTATTGCTATCTCCTCCTGATCATCAGGGTACCTCTCCTTGATACACTGGCAAGGTGTTTGGAAAGCACAGACTTGTTTTGCATGGAGACCAATAAATAAATTGAAAAGCTGCAGAAGGGGCATTTTGCACAGACAGAGAGGGAGCCAGCTCATGGAATGGAGCAGGCTGCACCTCAGTGCTGCTTACATGCTCTCTTAGCACACACACAGCACATAAGTGCTGCAGCACTTACCAATCATAGTGCTTTGTTCCTTTTAACCCCAAGAACTTTAACTCCTTGAAAACATTTAATGTTTTGGCCTCAGCCACTTTCTGTGGCAGAGAACTAGGGTTGGTGGCAGTGGCTCAGTGGTTAGCACTGCTGCCTCACAGCACCAGGGACCCGGGTTTGATTCCACCCTTGGGCGACTGTCTGTGTGGAGTTTGCAATATTCTCCCCAGGTCTGCGTGGGATTCCTCCGGTTTCCTCCCACAGTCCAAAGATGTGCAGGTTAGGTGGATTGGCCATGCTAAATTGCCCGTAGTGTTCAGGGATGTGTAGATTAGGTGGGTATGGGGGGATGGGTCTGAGTGGGATGCTCTGAGGGTTGGTGTGGACTTGTTGGGCCGAAGGCCCTGTTTCCACACTATGAACATTGCACACAGACCCATTTACTGTTTGGACATAGACCTGTGGGGTTTCTGTTCCCTAGCCATCCTACTGTATTGGTCCCCTTGGCGCATTGCTGCTCACTGTCACATACATGCTCAGCCACTCACGGCCAGCTAGATCTTTGGATCTAGAGGCCCTGAAGGAATAGGATAATGCATTAGGAAGGCTAAAAGTGTCAGAGTGACTCAATGCCGTGTATACAAAACGTTTCTCTTGCTTTCAGGTGATGTAACAAGCTCTCAGCTCAGATCTGCATCTACAGAACATTGGCTATAGACATGAGCTGATGCCTGATGCTGTCACCAAACCATATGGGCCCACACAGTAAAACCAACAACCAGATATAAAGATAGAGCAGTGATACTTACACAAAAGTGCAAAATTAATCACAGGCCATTGTCACTGCTGTCATTAAAGTGCCCTCAATAAGTTTTCTTCCTCCTCTCCCTCCTGTCTTAATGTCCTCCCTGGTTCTGCCGCTGGGGTGATAGGAGCCTGATTGGCAGTGAATCCCATTGGCCACAAGAGATTCGATAAGGCAATCTTGGGGATACTTGTGTCTGGATGACCAGACATGCCAAGACCATAAAACCATAACATAGCGGCAGAATAAGGCCATTTGGCCCATTGAGTCTGCTCCCACTTTCAATCATGGCTGATATGTTTCTCAACCCCATTCTCCTGCTTGCTCTCTCTAACCTTTGGTTCCTTTGCTAATCAAAAACTTATCTATTTCTGTCTTAAATACATTCAATGACTTGGCCTCCACAGCCTTCTGTTGCAAAGAATTCCACAGATTTACCATCCTCTGGCTGAAGAAATTCCTCCCGTCTCAGATCTGAAGGTTCATCCCTTCACTTTGAAGCCGTGCCCTCGGGTTCCAGTCTCTCCTACTATTGGAAACATCTTCTTCACATCCACTTTATCCAGGCTTCTAAGTATTCTGTAAGTTTCAGTCAGATCCCCCTCATAGTTCTAAACTCCATCGAGTACAAACCCAGAGCTCTCAGTCACTCCTCATATGACAAGACCTTCATTCCCAAAGCATTCTTGTAAACCTCCTCCAGGCCCTTTCGAAGGTCAGCATATCCTTTCCTAGATATGGGGCTCAAAACTGCTCACAATATTCCAAATGCGGACTGACCAGAGCCTTATGCAGCCTCAGCAGTACCTCTCTATTCTTATATACTAAGGGTTGTTCCTTGATGTGACTCACTCTGCCAAGCAATTGATAGGCAAATAATTTTCAACCTCTAAATATACTCAAAGACTGAGATTCCACAGTCCTCAGGGACAGAGAATTCCAAGGTCCTTTTCAGGAAAGAAAAAATTCTCGTGTCAGAATCTGCCACCTCCTCTCCATGTCTCCAGTATGCTTACTAAATTATGCGATAAAATCACATATGGAGCTGGGCATGTATATCTCCGTTGGTGCAGGCTGCTCAGGAATATAGTAATGCAATGTCTTCAGATGGAATTCCAATCCATGAGCTTTCCAGGGTGGATTTATCACACACCAGTCCCACATCCAAAGATGGGCCTGGTGGAGATAAAATTTTAAAGTGTAATAATTGATCCAGCCACCATCCACCCCTTGGTGAGGAAATCCGAGTTGCGATGAAGTCTCTCATATGAACGTCATGTCATCCCAGCTGTAATCAATGTTGAGTGATGGTTTAGGGTTGCTGTTCTGGGACCTCTTGTGGTGCGTTGGTAGTGTCTCTATCCCTGGACTGGGAGGCCCAGGTCTGCGTTCCACCTGCTGATTTTGAGGTGGCATGACAGGATAGGAGTCGAGAAGCTGTTTCCACGAGCTGGGGATTCTCAAACCAGGGAACACTCATAAACAGAATTTCTTCTCTTGGAAGATTGCGAATGTCTGGAATTCTCTCCCTCAGAAAGCTGTGGAGATTAGATTATGGAAAGTATTTGAAAAGGAGGCAGATAGATTTTTGAAATATTGAGGAATTGAGGGCTATGAGGAATTGCCGTAAAAGAGGAATGATGGCCTGTAGGAAAAGCAGCCATGAATGTATAGAATGGTAAAGCAGGTTTGAGGGACTGTGCAGCCCACTCCTGCTCCTATTTCTTATGTTTTCTCTTTTGGCTCTCAGGTCACTGGGCAGTTATCAAAGATTGAAAATGATAATCAATTATTGTAAGGTGTGCCTGCTACTTGCTATATTGTCTAAGCACCTGATTGCTTGGGAAGCCTGCAGACCAATTATCCTGGTAGTGTACCCTGACCTGAAAACCTTTTCTGTCTGTCAAATTAGTAGTTCTAAACTCTCTAAGCTTGTTCCCTTCAACTCATAGGGCCTTTGTTATCATTGAAGAGTACGCTTTTATCTCAGAGATGAGTGCCAAGTCTTGCTTTGCAAGCTGGTCAACTGTTGTTCTCGACAGAGTGTCTGCAGTTATTTGACATTTTCCAGGCATGTAATGTGTTGCAGTGTCATAGTGCATGAGCCGAGATTGAAATGCTGCATTCTTGTTGGCAGTTTACGATTTCTTGGGATGTTCAGGACAGTCCAATGCTCCATTTTAATCCTGAACTGCAAACTACTTTTAACATCAGAAAACTGTGTGTAGGCCTTTGTCACTGCCACTGTCTCCTTTACAATGGTTATCGACAGTTTTCTGTGTCTGTCAAGGATCTAGAAGCATGTTAAACTGGCTTCCTTTCATCACCTTCTTGAATTTGTAGAAACATGGGCTCCAAGCCAAGGGAATAATGCGTCTGATGCTGTCACTGTTGATGATAATTTGGTATCACAGCAATCAAGCACGTACAGAAAAAAATCAACAGCACTTTAATGCATTGTTATGCTCGACACCATTGTTAACCATTTCCTATAAAGCTTACTTGGGAAGAATTTTACCACCTGGTTGACAACATCTAAAAATTGTTATGTATCAACATCACATTTGGGTTGAGGAATTACCTTGGTCTTTGGGGTATCTACCTTTATCTCTTTTTGTTGTGTAATATGGCCTGAGATTCTGGTCATGATTTTTCCCCAAACTCACCACTTCTTCTTCAGAGTGAGACTTCCTGTTGAAATACCTTTAAAACCTCCTAGCTCAACGGTTGTGGTCATCTTTGGTAAAGCCATGGATGTTTCTCTGTCTGCCTTTGAGGATATTGGACATTGTGCGCTGGAAGATCTGTGCTGCAGAGTGTGCACCGAAACAAAGTGAATCGAAACAATTTCAACTGAAGGGTGTACTGAACACTTTGATTCTCCATCAAGGGATATCCACTGAAGACTTTGGATGCATTTTCCTTTGAACAGGTTTGTTTATCTGTGTCAGGTACACAGAGCCTGATTTCACCATTTGGTATAGGAATTGTCACGAGGTCTGAACACCGTTTTATAGGATTGTTAATGGGTAAGATTATACCTTGGGGTTGACCCAAGCTTTCCTTGCATTATCTCATCGCGCCATCCACCAGCTCCTCCTATCTTGGGGCTGCAGCAACCTCTGTGCTCGACAGATACTAGATAAAAACCTGCCAACTCTAGCACCCACCCTATATCATTAATCGCATGGTTCCCCACCATCGATCCATTCATTAGCTGCTCCTTGGAAAATACATTGGGAACTCCCATGCCCACCTTGCTATGTTTCTGACAAATACTTCCTCCTGGTGTTGGGACCACAAATAAATTGGTAAAATTCCAGTTGGTGGCTCTGTTTTTCTCTCTCCACAGATTCTGGCTAGCCTGCATAGTATTTCCAATATTTTCAGTTTTTATTCCTGCCTTCCCATTCTTCATTTAAATTGAATCATATTATATCCAAGGTAAGAAAAGGATTTTTTAAAAATTCATTAAAGTATTCTGAACCTGGTGCTATTTGACACTGAAACAGTACAAACAAAGTTGCGGCAAAATCTATTTGGTGTAAAACTTAACTTTAATTAGAGTTTTGACACCAGAGGCAATTTATTGACATGCACAATCTCCACTAGTGTGATGTTCAATGTAGCAAGACCAGCTGGGGTCTTTGCTAATTAGCAGTTTGATGGGAATTACAGCAGCGTTGGACAGTTTAAAGAAGTTACTTAAGGAACAGAGGGACTGTAAGCAGTTCATTGATAATATTTGGCTGCTGTTGGGCAGGTTAAGACAGATAACGAAACAATCCAGTGTTCAGTGTTTGAGGGCCCTTGTGGCATCGTATCCCTGCTTTTGAATCAAGATGACTGGGTTCAAGCCCCGCCTACTCCAGTGGTGTGTAGTAACATCTCTGTATAGAAATGACAAAGAAAGAAAGGTGTGGAGGGATGTGATTAGCACTAACAGGTAGGTAACAGAATGAGGCTGTGATAAGGGTTGAGATATCTGCCAAGTAAATCAAGTAAATGGATTCTGATGAATGGACTGGGAAAATCAGGTTGGTAGCGGATCCCAAGAAAAGGAATTTGTGGAATGTCTAGAAGGATTTTTTTTGCAGCAGTGTGTGGCAGAGCCTACTAGGGATCAGGCAATTTTGGATTTGGTGATGTGAAATGAGGCGGATTTAATTAGAGAGATTAAGGTGAAGGAACCCCTACAGGGCAGTGACCATAATGTGATAGAATTCATTCTGCAGTTTGAGAGCGTGAAACTGGAAACAGTATTACAACTGAATAAAGGTAACTACAAAGAGCTGAGAGATGGGATGGCCAGAGTTGATTGGAAGGGAAGCCTAGCAGGGTAGACAGTGGAGTAGCAATGGCAGGAGTTTCTGAGGGTAATTCGGGAGGCACAGCAGAGATTCATGCCAAAGAAGAAGAAACATACTGAGGGGAGAATGAGGCAGCCATGGCTGACAAGAGAAGTCAGGAACAACATAAAAGCAAAAGACGAAGCGTAGAATCAAAGTGTATCAGGGGCAAAGTCTCCACTGGTTAGAGTCATACCTGGCACATAGGAAGATGGTTGTGATTGTTGGAGGTCAGTCTTCTCAACTCCAGGATATCTCTACAGGGATTCCTCAGGACCAACCATCTTCAGCTGCCTCATCAACGACTTTCCCTTCTTCACAAAGGTCAGAGGTGGGATATTCACCAATGATTGAAATATGTTCAGTACTATTTGTGACTCCTCCAATATTCAAAGTAGAAACAAAGAACAAATATTCAAAAAGATCTGGACAATATCCAGACTTGGGCTGGCAAGTGGCAAGTAATATTTATGCCATACAAATGCCAGGCAATGACCATTTCCAATAAGAGAAAATCTAATCACTGTGCCTTGACATTCAGTGGTGTTATCATCACCAAATATCCCACTATCAACATCGAGATAACAAGATGTAGAGCTGGATGAACACAGCAGGCCAAGCA